ACCCCTTCCCCAACCCCATCCCCAACCCCATCCCCAACCCCATCATGACCCCCCCAACCCCTTCCAGGGCCCCAGCCCGAGTCCACGCGTTGTCTTTGCAGTTCTTGCTGTGGCATCTGTCGCGCCAGGCCCGGCGGGTCAAACTGAGGCGTCTGAGGCGTCCTGGCGCTGCGCTGAGCGGGTCGAAATGATGGGGGCGACGCCAACAAAAACATGGTGAAACACTGGATCTTTAGAGAGGGAAAATGACGGCAATGGATATATATATATATATAATCTATTTTATATGTATATGTATATTATATATATATAAACTATTATAAACTAAGAGTTAAACAGTATGTTACAGTATGTTTAAGGACATAAAGTGGGTTGAACTGGGATGCTTATCAACACCAGCTGTTGGCATACGGAACCATCGGGATTTGAACCTTACAGCATTTGTTGACCACGACCAACCTATGGCGTTGTGCAACAGCGTAGCCAAGGGACATGGGTGGCTGCCAGGAATTCTGCGTCTGACAGTTGCTCCTGACCAAGGCCGTGGTCAATCTCCAGTTCTTGTTGGCAGTCCTAGTGACCTAGTGGTTGTCAGTCCTAGTCTTTTGCTGTTTTGTCCCTTTGCATGATAAGTTTGCATTTGTGCATTGCTCTGACCTCGATGACATTGACATGCGATTTTGAATGTCCGCTCTAAGTTTGAGATGCAATCCCCTTTGTGGAGGGCAAGTGGCCGCCAGTTGAGTGAAGAAGTGAATACCATTCCAGCTTGAAAAAGAAGACGACGGAGAAGAAGGTGAAGGAAGTGCAAAACTATTCGATGCGCTTCGACATCTCGAAAGGGCGGAGAAGCATCATGGCCGCAGCAACTAGGGCTTAGGCTGGCGCTCAAGGCGTTCGTTCTTCACCGCACACAACGTGGGCTCCGGGTGAAAAACAGCAGATTGCTTGTGGTATTATATAAGTGTTGTGATGGAACTTGTTGTGTTTTCTATGTGTTTCTATTCCTCTTGCGTCTGTTTGTTCTTGCTTTTTCCTCTTGTTCTTCTTCTCGATTCTTCTGCTGCTCCCTGCATTTCTTGTTTTTCTTCCTCTTCTTCTTTTTTTTCCTTCTTCTTCTCCTCCTTGGTCTATTTTTGTCATGAAGACAAACACTTGGTGGGGTCATGCAGACAACATTCAAAAAGCATAAATAAACCGGCAAATACATGTAATTGATCGATGCCACATCGACAAACAATTTACTATCCAACTCCAAATGGAAATGCAAAAACGCGACAGACCACCACATCTTCCGAGCTCTGTCCTTGACATTGACATGGGGGGTCGCGGCCTCAAGTGACCAGCTGTGATGTCAGGAAATCAAATCCTCTCAAACCGATTTCCAGAGGTTTGCTGACTTTGCTTGTTCATCCGGGTGACTTTCCTTATTTCCAAGCAGGTTGCAACACATGACATCCTACATCCACCGTCCCGAGAATAGACGCAAGCAGAACGTTTATCCTTGTGCTTTCGCAAATTGTGCACTTATTATTAGAGAGACTTCGGGATACCAAGACTCTCTAAAACCCCATTTTCTTAATGGAATTCCATGCGAATCAATCCCAACCAAAATAATGTATATAAACAAGTGTAATGACAGTGAGATAATACTTACTGATACTTACGGTACCTACTAAGTTGTACGAACAATGTGTATATCATCTGTACATACCACCATCCAAACTACTTTCTTACAATATCTTACAATATGTTACAATAATATAAAAACCCTTCCCCCACTTGATACCGAAGGACCCTCTAGAAAACCCTAATTCACTGCATCTAGTCATTGCGGGGGCCTCACATGAGAGAATTTACAGTAACACCAGTGCAATCCACTGCAGTGATGACATCTCCATTTAGATCTGGACTTCTGGTAAATTGGCCATGTAATGGCCTTATATTTTATCATTTTATGATGTTTTTTTATATCATGTTACACTACACCATTCTACATCTGCGGTGTTTGTTACTCCGATGTTGGTTGAATTCGAGGACATGGCAGTGGTCCGGAGCGGGTATGACCCAAGGAGGTCGAGCCCAAAGCATCTCCTGGGGCTTTGGAACTCGGAAATCAAAGATACGGTGGATGGAATTAATCCTGCACCGGTTGATAGGTGGTAAACATCCCAGTATTTATAGGGTTTCAACCATCCGCTTGGTGATGAGGGATTTCGCTGGCCCATCCACAGTATGTCAAAAACATGGTTTGATTCAACTGGCCAGTCTTATCATTCTTGTAGGATGATATATCTGATATGATCTGATATGATCTGATATGATCTGATATGATCTGATATGGAAAATACATGGAAATACTTACCAATGGTTTGATAACTGACCATGTTTATCCATTTTGGGGGGGATGATCAGGATGATTTGGAGAACTGACCAAGTGACTAACTTGGAGTATCATGTTATGGTTCTGATGAGTATGGATTACAATGGAGTTGATAGATGTTATGGACCTATGGATGATCATTCATGGAAAATCAAGATGTAGAAACGGAATAACTTGTCAGACTTGTCAGGTTTTTTTACTTCAGACTGTTGGTGGCGTCTCAAATCAGAGAGGCCAGTATGTGAGGTTTCCCTTCGTTTCCAAGAGCTTGAAACTTCAAACTTGATCCGCAAAAAGGATCAAAAAGGTATGAGTGTCGAAGGCCTGAAGATTTATGGTGCAACAAAGCATTCTCAAGTTGAAAAACATGGCAGCTGCCACGTACGCACTAGACACATACGTCATACCTTCCCCTCCCAATGTATCACACTCTGACGCAAAATCTGCCTGTGCCGACTGTAGGTGCCAACATGGATGCACACGATGCACTGCCCACCGGCAAACGCATGCCCTGCGGGTGCCCTATTTCACACGGCGAAGACTTCCAGGGATGTTTGTCAGGTGAAGTGAAGCAACCCCGATTCCCTCAAAAGAAAGGAGCGAGGGCTGCTGATTTGATTCAGTGATATTCAATGGGATATTCGAATTTCATCGAATTTCTACATGTCAGCAGTGATGAAACATTTTTCAGCAAGAGTTGTGGTGTCGGCTGCGATCAACAAAACATGGGGACGCTGTCGGATATTCATGGACAGAAATGGGATTGGAGATTGAATACATGTAGTGTTGGCAAACAGTGACTTTAAGTCCAAGAGATTAAAGGAGGATGAGACCGAGAAAAGATGTTCTTGAACTGATGGTCTCTCCTTCCCATTGAATATCCATGATTTCTTCTGTTTATTCTATTGCTGAAGTCTTGTTTCATCCCCATCGCCAGCCTCCGTGCGCGGCTCCACCAGCCAGCCATAGCCAGGGCCGCCCAGCTGCCCCGGACCCACCCGCACAAAGCGCCGCGAGGGGCACGAGCGCTGGGCATAGTCCTGACGTCGAACCCATTGTGGTTTTGGGGGACCAAACTGGACAAGGAGTTGATATAGAACCAAAATTAAATTGGAAATCCAAGCAACAAACATGGGGATTGAATGGGATTGAATGGGTTTGAACTGAACTTGAACCAATAAAAGTAGTGAAAGTAGGAATAGGGTCCGGATTCGGGACAGAACAAGCTCCAGAACTTCGTAGGGTTAGTGTGGCAGCAGGACGTCATGGATCAAATTTCAAGGCCCCATTGAGACCACTATTCTGAGTCGGTGTTTTTATCAACTGTGTTTTTTGGGGAGAATACCATGGCATACCCTCATTTTCGACCCTACGCCCATGTACCCTCTGGTAAATTAACATAGCTATAGAAAATGGCCATAGAAATAGTGGATTTTCCCATTGAAAATGGTGATTTTCCATAGCTATGTTAGTTTACCAGAGGGTATCTCCTTTACATCACTCCAGTGGTCTGCGCGTCTAACGGGTGTCATCCTGGACATCTCGATGCATTGTCTCGAGCTGCTGGTGCAGCCGCGTCCACCCTCGGCTGTGAAGGTCTTGGAAACACCCAGCAGGTGCGGGACAACAAAATTGAGCAAATTGACTTTACCAAAATTTGAGTTGAATGGCACATAAGAGCCACAATCATCCCGGATTCATCCGGATTCAACCCCCCCCAAAGGGTACAAACAAGTGTACACAAGGTGGATTGGTGTAATTATTGGAGGATGATGCTGTAAACATGTTGCGCCGCACATATCACGTCCCAAGATCCGACGATTCAATCCTCTCCACCCCTTGACCCACCAGGTCACCAGACAGAGCCTTTTCACAGCAGCCTGGGCTCCAGGCATTCTTGATCAGCTTCGCTATTCCAATTGGCCATAATTTCCGAAGGCATCCCTCCTCCTGAGCTTTTGAGTCATGGTCATGGTCTGGCCATGTCTGGCCGCTCACCCCAAAATACTAAAATACCCTGGCAGAAAGTTGCCCGCCTTCAACTGACCCAGAGCGGGAGTTATCTGAACAGGCGACGCTGGAAACGAACCTGCAAATTAGTTTCCAGAACAGTTCCTACCTCGGTCCCACATGTGAACGTTTTGGATGCGATCCACGTGTTCCGATTCTTCACCTCCGACTACGACAATTTATTGTTGAAAAATTGGACAAGTTTGATGTTTATTGGAGGGCCTGTCTCCCGGCGCAAATTTGGGACCTCCTACTGAATCCACGTGAACAAGTTTTCGCATCCGCTTTTTTGGGGTCAACCCAGCTTTCACGCTTTTTGCTTGCTCCTACAGGGGCAGCTGGATCATATCTTTGTTTCTTGAAAATGGCTACCCACAAAACGCAACCATCATTCAATATCATTCACTAGCAACTGGATGAAAAATCATCCTCAGATCATGAAAAACCAGGGACCATCAATAAAACTGGTGGAAATAAATTCTATGAACTTGCTGAATTTGTCGTAAGACTCGATCCTCCAAGAAATGTCATCCCCCTTCCCCCCCATTCCCATCACCGTTCCCACCGTCCACCGTCCCGTCCCTCCTTGCGTCGCGGCCAGAGATTCCAGCTGTGGCGGCTCCGGCGCCGGTGGCGGATCCAAGGTCTGGTGGCGGGTCAAAATTCACCAGTGCCGTAAGGGGATTCACTATGAATAACTGGGATTCATATGGATTAATATGGATTAATATGGGGAAATGATGATTTTTTAACTGATTTTGAGATTGGGAGTTGATATGAGTTGATATAGCAATAGCCAGCAGATCCAAGCGATTTTTTGCTGGAATATTCATATTATTCATGGGATAATAAAAAAATCATGGGATATGGATGGATCTGAGATACAGTGAGATGATCCCATCCCTCCAATATCTATTTCTGGGCTGCCCTGCCAGTGGAATAATCTCCTCTGGAGGAATCCCCATTCGCGAACGGTTGGGCACCTGAGGCACACTTTCATGGGCTAAAGGCTAAAGGGCCTCTTGGGCCATCACTGCCTAAATAAATGAAGTTTATTGAATTTTGACATCAATGAACCCACCTTGATGCTTCGCCATGTACAGCATCAATATATCCAGATGTGATTGGTACCAGTAGTACTCTTTGTTGGTAGCCAATTGGTGTTCAGCTCAGGTGCATTGCTCAGGGCAGATGCCAAACCTTTGTCCCTGAAAATGGTCGGCGCGGATTCCTTGGAAGGATCAATGGATGGATGTTTTCACAGAAGTTCAAAAGGACGTGGGCGTTTACCATCAAATCTAGAGAAGTGCTGCTTTTTGAGCGTGACACCCTTGGTATTTTCACCATCGAAATTATTGACAGTATATATTGTTTTGTTTACCTGTGAGAACAATTCAGGGATGGAAACGATGATTCAATATGTCAATATATGTCAATCAATGCCTGAAACATCCTGAAGCATCCTGAAACATCCATCCGAATCCATCACATCCTACTTTGGTATCCACATCCAGATTCCTTCCAGCTAATTCTCAAGGAATTTAACGGAAACCATTGCCATAGTCATTGGATGCTTCAATGTTGAACAGATGTTAAATGTCACCGTGATGGCTACGTCGCCACCCACATCACTTTGTCAGCCGCATCCCACCTTTGTCCCTGTAAAATCGAAAAAAACAGATTCTTCCTCGGCTAAATCAATGGATTAATCTCTCACAATCAGAATATGTCATAGTCTCAATTGCATCAGTTCCAAATCCCGTCCAATCCCCAATTGTTTACATGTTTTTCCGCTTTTTCATCACTCCAAAATCCCTCCTTCCCACCTTTTTTTCAGGAATTCTCAATATTTCTCAGGTCCCACCCCCAGAGGCCAAACAGAGATGAGCTTCCACCGCCGGCACAGTTGCGCTACGCGGCACCTTGCCGGACCCGGTCAGAGGGGCTGCCTTGGCACTGCGCACCTGTGACACAAAGATGGCTGGCGCCTGGCCGGGGGATTCCACGGGGGATGGAACAGTGGGGATATGTTTTGTGGGTAATTCTCCATTATATGGGATAATTCACTGTGGATTATCCAATATTGTGGAACAATAGCATTTTATATTGATTATACCACCATGATATGTGGTATATGGTGGTATAACCAATATAAAATGGGATGACAATAGTTCTTTATATGTTTATATCACCATTTAATGGGATGTCCTTAAACCATCCCCCAAATCACCATTTTGATAGGTGGTATAATTCATTCCCAGTCATGGGTGGTTTATGATTGTGAAAAACGCAGATTGACTATGCCAAAGCTATTGAACATGGCACATTTATAGTTGATTTACCTATTCAAGATGGTGATTTTCCACAGCTATTTTGGTTTACCAGAGGGTAACTATGTTGATCATGGGCAAATAATGGTTGTGATTATATAGGTATTATAGGCGATTTATTGGGAATATATAATCATAATATAGTTATTATATAAAATGATCGATCTAGGTAATGGGAATATGTTCCAGGGATAAAAGGGGATGCAATGAGGATTTATAGGGGACTTATATGCGATCACATATAGGGAATATAATGATAAATAATGGGAATGTAAGTAATTATCTAATATATAATGTGAATACTGAAATTATGTGTATATATATATATAATGGGATATAATGGGAATATCCCAATTGTCGGGGAATATCCCAACTATTGATAATCCCACAAAGTATTGGTGATAATGAATTTTTTTTTCATGGGTGTGAAGGTTCAATTCTATGGGGATTTATGGTTCACTAATGACTAATGACTGATAATGGTTCACCATGGTTCACCCTATTTTAAAGGAATGTGGTAAATCCAATGGAGTTAACCTCCGACCTTGAGGAAGCCCTATAAACTTTATAAACCTCTTTTCATAGCAGATAAACCATCCCAAAAAACTAGCATAATTTGGGTGTTGTACTATTCCACAATTGTTGGTGTGTTTATTGTTGGGCTATGTTGGGCTTGCCACAGTTCCATAGTAAGCCCGGTTGTTGAATAAATATTTGTATTCTCCAAGAATCATCCCTAGGTTTTCCCAGATTATAGCAACCACCACCAAGAGAAAGGAAATTGACATCGATCTACCGCTATTCGAGTAGGAATTTGCATGTTTTTACTCCAAAAGAGGATATGGACTATGTATATATATATATATATGTGGGATATCCAAAAGCAGCAAATGGGATGTTCAATGGGATCTCAATGGAATAAAGATGAATAAAAACGGATATAGATCCCCACAAGTGGAGGAGATGATGGATTTCTCATTAGGAAGGTGATATAATTTGTAGTTGGATTATTTGGCATATGCTTTTGTCTCCAAAAATGCGGTGGCTTATCATTAGTCTCCCCATCGAAATTGTCGGGTTGGGGTATCCCACAACAAAAAACATGTAGGGGGAATCAAGCGGCTGATACTGTATGCTGCTAACAAATTGGATAATAGCTGGAATACATTCAAAAACCCTCGGAAACCATGTCGAGATGCAAACAATCAAGATGGAATCTTCATCCAACAAGCTAGCAGCTGCGTATCACCTGTGATATGGGGGTGGGTATGGTTAAACATTGAGTGGATTCATAAGAGCAAATCAAACCCTTGGAATAGAAGCCGATTCCTAGTCTCTGGCTGCACCACTCGCTAGGTTCTGGTAATGCTTATTATATATATATATATAAATATAGATAGATAGATTTTAAATAAAATAGATAGTTTTCCTTTCCCTTGAAAAGCCAACTCTTATCTCTATATAATATAATTATATATATAGTTATATTATATAAGTTAACTAGTGGTACAGTAGCTATGTGTCAACGATGGCTCAAAATTGAGGCACCCCAAGGGGAACTGCGGGGGCCCACAGCGGGAGCCAGCGGGAGCCCACGTGACGGCCTTCTCATCCGAGGCCATTGGCGAGTTCAACGGGGTGGTGGGCACCTTCCCGGCTTTAGCTCCTAGCGCGCAGAAAGAACGGTTTGGAGAAAAGGGAAGACCATGGAATAGCCCAATCACAGCATGACAAAATTATGAGAAATCCATCGATTTTGATGGATTTTGGTCATTGGTGCAGCTGCACTCTCGAATAAACATCAACAGTCAGCCATATCATGAACTTTCACCTATCATCTTTGGCCCAACGGCCTGCCCCACGCAGAGTTGGCCGGGTCTGCTTCGCAAGCGGACTAGTTGGGCTCTGACTGGCACTGCTGTCCTGCCGATGGGATCACCACTTGCCAACGGAGTCGCTGCAAGCTTTAGCAGCTGAGTGATGAGGATTCGACTGCTTTCAAATATTCATGGAGACATATCTAGTATTGTATTTGAACATGTGAAACCCTACCAGTTCCTGGCAAGTGCAAGATCTTCATACTCCAAAGTTAAAGGACCATGTAGCATGGGTCGGAGTAGTAACTATGGATTTGGCCATAGGGACCATGGTGAATCCATGAATCCATGGTGATCCAGCTCCCCATATTTGTGCATGGTTGTCACTGGTTGTCCCACCCTCGCACTTTAGCCTAGTCTAATTCTTACTTTGTTTCATTTTGAAGGGGCATTTGGTGAACCTGACCACCTGGTCAAGTTCAATCAAATTAATAGTCTCTCACAAATAAGCCCATGCAAAGCCCTTCAGAAAATGCTCTGCACTTCATGTCATGTTTTTTCTCCGCATCACCATCCACTTCCTCGCGCATCCCATGGCAACACCCTGCGGTCCCGCGACATCCGCCGCAGGGGCGACTTCGGCAAGGACGCTTTGGGTGAGAGCTGTGGTGGCGACAGCAAAGAACGCTCCATTGGAGCGTGCCCCTGTGGGTGTGAGGGTAGAGATAGAGATATGGCAGTGGGTCAAAACCTTGTACCCCTGGTGAACATCAAAATAGCTGGTAAATGGATGTTCATCCCATTAAAAATGGTATTAATAGGTATTGATCCATACCCATATGGGGAGAAAGGTGGGCTAGGACTGGAAGTATCTATCAACAACTTCAGAAGTTCCGAATAGTTCCGACCTTGTTGATAGAGTTACAAAAAGGCTGAAAAGCAAAGACCTGTGGGTTGTCCAATGGCGGATGCCTCAAATGATTTTTTCTAGGAAAACGACAATCATCCATTCAATTGAGGGGTAGCCATGGGTCCCAAAAATGTCTTTTCCGGAGTCACACGACCGAGTTTTCAGTCCCGTCCTCTGCCACATCACCAGATTCTCGAACTTCCTTGAGTTTCCTCGGATGAAACCGACCAGGTTTGTATCATCTCCCGTTTTGTTTATCATCCCATCTCTGGTACTCTTGATTTGGGACTATGAAAAATCTCATGACTACCCTCTGGTTATGACTAACAGTTCGCCATGGTTTTTCGATGACCCTAATCGAAATAAACGAAATAGATGGTTTACCGAACTAAACATGGGTGGATCTTTCCATGGCTATGTAACAAATAGCCAGATGGTAGATCATTTAGGCAGCTATTGAGGATGCTTAAGGTAGATAGACTTTTAACTTTCAACTCATGAGTCTGCTGAACTTGCCATGCCTGAATTCGTGACAAGGACCCCATCCTTGATCGTGAACCTACTCCACAGAAAACTCACACTGCAGCTCCTGACCAATGGGGACTCAGAGCCGGACAGCAGTTGTTGCTGAAGCACATCTTGCTGTTGTTGTAAATCCACAGGAGCCCTATGCTCCTCCACTAGGGCTGGAGAAGGAACATCTGGTGCCTACTGAAGGATTGACAAAATAGGATTTCCTCAAAAAGTCTCAAAAGGGGTAAAGAATGGTAAAGATATACACTCCAATCATTGGTCTCCATGACTACAACTTCTTAAAAGGATCATTTGGGGAGATTGAGGATATGCGCTAGGCATCGGTATGCATCATTTTTGGCCATACGTCTTCTGGTTCACAGATCTTAAGAGTCATCCAGTCTGACGAACGACCCCTGGAATTCGACCGACAAAACTGGCTCTCCTGCCCCCCTGACCTCGGTATGAGCTTTCCAAATGGGAAAAACTGACCCAAAAACTGACCCAAAAATCATCTGGATCCTTTGGAAATCTTTGGAAATCTTTGGAATTGAATAAATCCGCTTTGACATTCGATTCTTTGCAGAAACACAGAGAAACGATCAGATATTTGTGATGCTTTCACATGCTTTCGCAGGAAGCTGTTCGCACTCCCATGGAACATATGGAACCACTCAATCTGATGGCCACCTTTTCATGGATGTGTTGTCGCCCTACCAAAATCCCCCTTGGTCTCCCAATTCAGTATGACTCATCCTGACTGAGGAACAAAAATCTATATCAATGTGACTCAACATGCCCCTCTCTCAAATTGATTTGGGCGGTGCTTTGTCCGATAAAACCGTGGACCATGAATAATGATTTTGTGCATTGCATAGCACCAATTTCGACATCAGGAGATCTTCAGTTGTTCTGGCGCTGCCAGGCGACGCTCGACGTGCCATTTGGGGGCCCTCGTCTCCCCCACGGGAAGGGTCCTCACATCCATCGGGGTTCCACGGGGTTTGAGGGGCGATGCGTGCGCACGTAATTAATCGTATGCAGTAATGACATCTTACATATATATAATTATATATTAATTATGTTAATTCATTTCATGTGACACATCAAATGAAGCTGATGCCAAGCCCAAGAATATGCAACTTCCCCAGCGCAGTCCGGAGAGTCTAACGAGTCTAACGTCTCAAAGGCAGCCTGGAGAACGACCGGAGACAACTTGGGAGCTAAAAGTAGGTAAAAATATGTAAAAATTGGTTAAAACATGTTAAAACGTGTTAAAACCCACCCGGCCTTGGGGAACAACACCCAAGTCAGAAGTCAATAGATCGTCCCTGGATGTCCACGGGGGTTTGGAGAGCTCGGTTTTGAACCTTGTGACCTTTAGTAATTACCTGCATCAGATCGGCGTCGTTAAACTCAGTTATCATTGCGAGAGTGCAAGACCAGCAGGTGTGGCGGAAGGGGGGCTCCTGCAATAAAACCAACCCACTTCAGAATCTTCAGATTTTCGCTCCACGGTACATGCAGCTGGATCAAACTGCCGAATCGTTCGTCCAAAAACTTACCAACCCATCGGCGGCTTGGCTCCAAAATTCGAACCCGGCCTTTTCCAGGCTGAACAACTTCAGATGGCTCACCAGCGGCTCCGGGCCACCCATCACGGCAACAATCGAGTTGTGCTACTTCTGAGGGGGGCGAAAAGCCTTCAGTCGTGGCCGACCACATTTTCATCAAATGTTAAGTTTTGGAAAAAGTGTCTGTTGTCTGATGGTTTCGGGTTCTGGCAAGTGAACCATTCCCAGGTCTGATGTCAACATGTGTTAACTCTTTCAGCTGCCAAACCCTGGTGAGTTGCACTGGAAACCTCCAGGGTAAGCCATAGGAAAGCATACATTTCTGGGAATTGCGGGCCCAAATGCTCGTCATTGCTCTGCGCGTATGGTCACTTCAGCATGAGCTTTGATGTTAGTTATTGACTTTTGAGATCTTTTGAGCCAGCAGCAAACATCAGCTGCATGGAGGTGGTTGATTCCTTGCCATGACTTCCTTTGGGGCGCTACACGCAATCAAATGTTGTGCCTAAATTGGGATCTTGTGATCTTGTCATGCACAAAATGAATAGAGCCTCTGATTACATAAGATTGATATATATATATACATATATATATATATATAGTGTAGTTCGATATAGTATGATATATAGTTACATGATACACTGTATCGATGACCTTCAGCCTTTCTCTTGGCCAGGATGTCTCTAACCTCAACACAAGCCTCGCAGGTTTTCCGCAAAGAAATCCAACTCGATCCGCTCTATCCTCCATGGCTAAAAAAAAATATGTGTAGCACCCGAGCAGAAGAAATCACTGCACTGGCCGTCATCATTTCGTCTGGATATAAGTGGAACAACGCTTCATTGCCTAATTTCAACCAGCTCTTCTGCACCATCTGGCAGTCACACCAGTCATTGTTCTCTCGCCACCCGACTTTCTTGGCCGGGATCGTGTTCCAAACCACAGGTCTAGGTGAAATTGATAATTCAGTCATCATGAAATGGTCGGGACTCAAGTAATTATACTCATGTGTTACCCCAAATGGATCCAAATGGATCAGTAAACTTTCTTGTCAGTTGGTTGAAGCTGAAGCTACAGTATCGCTTGACTCATCCGTTAACCTTCACCCCGCTACATCGACTGCTCTCACACGTGGCTCTCATGCAGTGCGCCTGGCGACGGAGTCATGGATTGTGCAGCAGAATCTGTGAACTTAGATCAAAACATTGACGGCTCCATATCCAACAAGACAATCTCAGGCAAATCATCCCTCCACGCCAAATTCAGCCAATTCACTTCACCATCCATCTGGATAGTTTCCAACAAATCCTAAACCTGTTCAACGGCCTTTTACATAAAGGACTCCACCTGCGCTTTACCGTGAAGCCACCCGTCTCTTTTCGTTCTTCCCCAAGGAATCCCAGAGGTTTGGTGTCCCCAATTTCCCATTGAGGTTGATCATCATGTGTTCCCCGTTCAATCTTGGCGTCAATACCATGGTAGCCATCCGCACCAAAATAGCTATTGCTGATGGATGTGCATCCCCCCAACGTAGTTTCTGATATTTTAACATCTGGTTATTTAACATAGCCATGGAAAATCCACCCATTTTTTAGTTCGGTAAACCATCTATTTCTATGGGCCATCTATACCATGGCTATGTTAGTCATAACCAGAGGGTACATCTTTTGGCCAATCCCCAAATCTCCATCATGATCACCCCGCCTTCAGAAGGCTTGCACGAAGGCCTTCAATCGTGCATCCCTCAGCTTTAGAGCAGCGCCTTCCAACTGTGCGTTCACCTGGCTTGTTCAGAGGTGTTGACAACAGCCCACAACATTGACCAGTTTTTTTTGTAGTGGGTGGACCCATTTTGTTTTAGGGGGTTAATAATCTATAAGAAATTTGACCGATATATATATATATATATATAAATTGAAGGGATGGAAGATTGAATGGGAAGAGATGCTTGTTAAGATTGAAAGCGGGCAGTAGCTATGCAAATTCAAACATGTCAACGCTTCTGGCAACATGCTTGGGGCGTTCTCCAAAACAAAAAGCATCAACTGACCCATGCTGCCCTGATCAACAAATCCAACATGTTCATACCAAATGGTAGATATACTACAATGGGATAGTAGTGGATAGTACTAATAAAGCAACCTACTATTACCATTATTACCTATTAGCCTATTACTATTATGAAGCCTCCAAAATGGCTGCACCTTGTCCACATAGGAGTTGGCACTGCCATCAGAGGTGGCTGCGATGGATTTGATGCCCAAGGAGTCGGGCAAGGCATAGCCCACCTGCGGCGATATCAACGGCACCGGGGGCTATCACCATCCATCACGATCCATCACCATCCATCACCAATAATAGTTGGGATATGTTAGGATATGTTTGGGATATTTTGGGGCTGTTTCGTTTTAGAAAATTGGGGAAAATTCGGATAAACCAGGATCAACCAGGGGCCACTTTTGTGCGAAAGCTACGGATGTTTGGGTGCGACGAGACGATCCCTGGCCCTGGCACCTTGGTGTTGATGCTGCTATAGAGGGCTTCCAAACGCTGCAAGGCATCAGCCGGCAACTTGGAGAAGTCATAGTCCTGCGATGCTGACCATCTTGGAAGTTATGCGTCCCCAAATGTCTTAATCCATCCTTTCCTAGTCCCCCAGGATTGCTGGTACTCTTAGAATCTCTTCAATATGGACATGCTCGTCCTGACCGCTCTTGGCCTTGCTGGCCAGAGATCGCACTTCTTCAGCCTCCTTGGCTGTCACCATAAATGACTCCTGCCACGCTCCACTTGGAGCTGGGGCGTCCCCAGCTGGGTTGTGACTGGGTGGGGCAACAAGCCAAGCATGGGATGACAGGGTGCAGTATGTAGATGACCCCTCTGTGGAAAGCGTCCTGGAATTCCTTTTCCTTTGCCTGCTGTGCGAAAGCCACTCGCTCAGCCAACCTTAGATCTGACCTATTCATCTGGGAACGTCTGGCTATTCAACCAATGGAGTTTCTTCCTACATCTCCACAAACATGAGACCCAGGCTGAATGTCCCGCCATGCAAATTCAGAGAAGCCACCAGCTATAGGTGACCCAACCGCCTATGGTTGATGACCATCAGAGTATTGCACTTTGGTCAGACATCGTAGTTTTGCTGGCTTTGTCTCCATGTTCCCTGGTGGTGGAACCTAAATCACTGTTCGTTGCACCGTGTTCTTCTGCATCCCATACTTGCCCACTAGTGCCGGTTGCTGCATGTCCATGTCAGGCCAATTATGCCAGTAGGAATTTCCATATTCATTGGTCTTTGTCGTGGTAAACCCGATGGGTAACCTCCACTGCTGGGAAGGTCAATTTGGGGATCGTTGATGATCGGGTTTATCAGGCTTGGATTTTGAATCATATCCCTTCATTGGGTCATCCGTAAAAAGTGGTAAACCATATTATACTAGTCCCGATTTTCTGGATTGAAGTGTGACATCCCCAAGATTGGGTTCTTGGCACCAAGTGACGTACCCTTGGCATCAGCTTTGGAAGTCGCTAAGTCGACTCCCTGCAGCGATTGGAAGGCGTCCGCGAAGTGCTTTGCCACCGGGTCCTGGAGAAGCAACAGAAATTGGCAAAAAAAACGACCCTCTGGTAAACTAACATAGCTGAACATCACCATCTTAATAGATAAATCAACTACTAGTATGAGCCATTTTACTTAGACCAGTTCTTTAAATATGTTTATATAATGCAAACAAAATAGACAGGGAAAGACCTAAGCGTCATTCTCCCTTTTTTTCAGACATGGTCCTTGGAAGAATACCATATTCTCAGACAATAAAAGTCATATTTGCTGACGTGTTCAATCGGTTTCACCATGTTTCCCACATTCCTGGTTTTCTTCAACCGGATTTTCATGCATTTTCATGCTATAAATCCACATCAAAGCCATCATTTTCCCATCAAAACACAACGGGCTCCTCAGCCACTTCCACCTGCGCGCCGCTCAGCGCCTTCACAGCGGCGGAGAAGGCCTGGACACCAAGGGGCGAATGGGAAATGCCGGGAAAAAAGGTTTTACTATTGCAGTAATAGAAAAGAATGGATGGATGGATGGATGGATGGATGGACGGACGGACGGATGGATGGATGGATGGACGGATGGATGGATGGATGGATGGACGGATGGATGGATGGATTGACTGATTGATTGATTGATTGATGGATTGATTGATTGGGGAAGAATGGTTTCTTATTTGTTCTTTTATTGAAAAAAAATGGCTGACCGTTCACTTTAAACATCGAGCTGTAGTTTTAGAGGGCATAGGGTATGGTCATGGCTAGATTTGAAGAATGTGTGGAATTCTTAGGGTGTCATGTCAGCTTAGCACAGTAATGAACCATGCCTTAGATTTTAGCATCTGCAGGTGTTTTTAAAGTAAGACTTGACAAGACCGAGGGTGATGGGTGTACTTATTCTGTGTAGGTATCACAATGGCATATATAGAAAGGATGTTGGGGTATCATTGTGATTGGGGAATATTGGGGTATCATTGCATCATAAAATGAGTATAAATTAGTGTCATTGGGGGAATTTATCCCAAGTATATGTGTGTCATCGGGGCAAAGGAGAAGACCCATCATAAATCGGCTAAATCGTAGGGCGTCTTTTATATGATACCAGAGACATTGGTTCATATTGATTGGTAAGTGAGCAATCTACCCTAAGCATAGTGGTGCGTGGTGCTACCATCGTTGATCAAATGTGGCGCCCAACTATCACGGTCGATTGTGGTGAAGGAGGCGAACATCAAATCAGGCATTCCTTGGCGGTTGATTTCATTCCCTGGCGGTGAGATCATATGAAATTAATAGATATTGATATAGTGCTATTGTGTGGTGCAGCTGAAACAAATCAATGGCTGGCAAATCATCAACGTTCCCGCCTTGTCCTGCATTCCCTTGTCTGTGGGGAACTTCTCCTTAAAGGACGCTGCTGCCTGGCACCACCGGCGCAAATTGGGGGCTCAAAAAACCTCAAAGGTGGCTGGCAGTTGACATCATGTTTGGTGCCAACATGTGGCTATGAGTCATAACCCTGGTACCTAGTGAACCACAAAACAGCTGGTAAATGGATGTTCATCCCATTAAAATTGATACTAATAGGTTTTGACCCATCCCGATGTGACAACTTGCAGGATGAATGATGTGGAACATGTATGATAGATAGCTTATCCTTCTGTGCAATCCAGCCAGTTCTCAAAGTCTAATCTCCCCGCAGGAAACGGCCTCCCGCACCACCAAATCCTGCATGGCTGAGCCCATGTTGGCCTGTCGCAAGGTGATGCCAATCCCAACAAACAACACCAGCCCACACACATACATATGATATTGTATACAAGTGTCTATATACAATAGACTATTTGACAATAGATATACATATACATTCCATATTGAATTAATTATAGATATAATATATATATATATAGATAGACAGATAGATAGATATGATATGATATAATGTGTATATATATAATACTATAATTATATACTATATATATAATATTATATATAATATATCCACTGATGTTGATTCTGCCCCCCCCCCTGGTGCTACAACAAGTTGGCTCTGCACCTCAAAAGCCGCGATGGCTTGCAACTGCTTGGTGGCCCGCTCCGTCAGATCCTCCTGCATCTTCACCACCAACGCCTTGAAGGAGGCTGGCTGACATGCTGACATCTCCAATGCCCGGCTGGAGGAATCCCATGGAATCACCAAAATACAACAGCAAAAACGTGGTTCGATGGTGGTTATATCACTGTTATATGCAGCAATTGTGGTTAGATTAGATGGTGGATATATATATATATATATATCACTGATATATAAATCTCAATCTCCGTACTCCAATCATCTCCAATCACATGGGGATGGGTTTTTCAAACTTGGTGCCACCCGCACAATTCGTTGAATGGGCTGAGTGGGTCAGTCTTGGGACTTTCAAATCATCGATTTTCCGGGTGATACTTTTGACCTATACTCAGCCTATCTCAGCCTTCCCGCCCTCAAAATGGTGGTTCATGATGGCTTCATACTGAAGATGGGCAGCAAAATATACTGGTCTCGGGGTTCTTGAATTCTGACCCAGCCCCAATGTACAATGAACCTCTCTTGTTTTTGGACGTGGAAGGAGCGTAGTTTCTTTATCAGGATTGCGGAGTCCCCCGTGAATCTGCGGGGCTCACTACTTGGAGACTTGGATCATCTTGGATCATTCTCAAGACTGGAACCGTTTATATACTGTAGATACTCATCATGGTTACATTTTGTTAGCAACCTAGCTGCTGGATTGTCGTGAAAAAGCGAACGTCATTGACCATGGCTACCAACTACCAACGTGATCTGAGCTGGTCTCACCCAACAGCAAAAAATGGGGAGTGGTTTCGGCCTACAGCAACTATAAACTGGGAGATTCATGGCACTAAACATCATACATACGAGTATCAGCCAGAAAAGGATTACATAGGATGACAACATTCAAAATGTGTCCATATGGGACCTGCAAAACCAACGATTTCTTTAATCAACACTTGATCAAGAGGTCCTTCAGCCCTGGCCTTGCGGTACGCCGCAATCTTCTCCTCCGAGTCCTGTCATCAGCATGATGAGGATGATGCTCTGGACATTGCGACATTGATCTTATGAGATCTTATGATAATGATGGTATTTCATCATAGTTCACCCACAAGCATCCCACCCAAAACATCCCAAAACTGCCACCTCTTTGAAGGTCTTCAAATACTCCACGCACTTGGCGTCGTTGGCGAAACGCCGCATGGACTCCACGATCTTATCTTCGCCCTCCATGACCTACAGGTCCAATGGCTGATTTTGGCGCTACCAAATGGCACAGAATCACCTGCAAAACATCATATAACTATAAATATAAACTGATATATATATACAGTATATATATATATAACGATAAATATATATATATATATATATACAGTATATATATATATATAACGATAAATATATATATATATATAAAGGTTTGGGACCAAGCTTGCCCCACGCACGATCCCAATCTTAGCGGGTGTGGTGCCATCCCGCGGGCCTTTGGTTTTGCGCTTTCTACGGATCTCGCACTGGCCTTTGCTGCGCACGGTGTTCTCCAAGGACGCTGCTGTGTATGCCACCGGCACTTTCCTTCCTCTTCTACATTTTGATCCTGATCGTTGTGAATCTGACTTGCTTGCATTGCACTGGTGTTCTCGTCCGGGACAACGTGAACGTGCTTGACAATCAGGCCATTTTCCTTTCGGTGTTTGACGACGGCGAATCCCACGCATCGCAGGTCTCAGCGCCGACTTCGAGCTCGAGCAAGGCGACACTGGTATCTCTTCAAGAAAGGATTTATCCATTTGAGTGTCTTGCAGCTGAAGAAGATCAAATCAATTTTGCAGAAGCATCATTCGCTGGACCCTGCCTTTCTACGCAGGATCGAAGCAGCAATGACGTCACAGTCAACAGCCCCATGGCGTTGCACAGGATGCAGGCAGCTCCGCAAACACTCTGCTATGCACTGCACCACATGCAACCTCCCGTGGCAAATGGTGTTGGACAGATCCTACGTCCACGGGATGAAGAGCCCCAGACGCCAGCAGACCGAGCCAGAGAATTATCCCACCTCGTGGCAAGGACATGCTCCATGGCAATGGGACCAGCAACAGACCAAGTCTCCAAGACAGAAAAAGAATCGAGCCCGAAGTGCCAAGAGTTCGAAGCAACCTGGTCAAGGGCCTCCTCATCAGATGCCCATGCTGCCGGGGCCGCCAATGCACACGGCAGCAATGGCGCCTATGGCTCCTATGATGGCATGGAACATGCAGCCGACGCAGATGATGCAGCCGTATCAGCACATGAACATGCAGCAGCCTCTGCCACCACCGCCGATGCCGCCCCCTGCCATGGCCTCCAATGTTCCGCAGTCACAGATGACTTCTGTGATGGGGCCAAATTTTGTGATGCCTGTCATGCCCAAGATGCCGCCCATGCCGCCGCCAGCGGCGGAAACCATCAACACGGACCTGATGACGATGTTGCGCCAGGACGTTGCAGAGCTACCGCCCCACATACAGAAGGCGGTGAAAGAATCCACACTCAAGGAAGGTGTGAAGGATGGGGCAAAAGCATCCAAAGATCTACAGGCAGCGGCGAAGAATCTGGGTTCTGCGCGGAAGGCATACGAAGCCTCCATTTTGGCGCGGTCCCAATTACACTCCAATTGGAAGAAATTTCTTTCCGATGCCGTGAGCTTATGGCAGGATTATGCTGCTCAGTTTACAGCGCAGGAACGCAAACTGCAGGATCAGGTTGCAGCGGCCAAGGAGAACTTCCTGCTCGCCAAGGAGACGTCGGCACAGGCGCACGAAGCTGCAGGAGCTGTGCAGGAAATCCACTCGGACGAGGAGTTCGGAGATGTTCCCAATGCGCCATCAGCAGCAGCCGCCAAAATCACAGAGAGCATGAATGGTCTCTCGCAGTCGCTTCAAAATCTTCAGCAGCAAGCGGCAGCAATCGATGCAGAGGAAAAACAGCACCAGGCCAAGAGACCTCGAACAGCACAGGTTGTACCAGATGCTCCCATGCAAAGCGAGGCCCAGGATTCAGGAGCTGGTGGACAAAATTCTTCTTTTGGCCAGGCTGGTTGTTAGTGACCTCAGAGTACAACAACCGGGAGCCAGCATCGACGGCTTGCAGCCTCTCATCGGAATTGCTTGTAGCCAAATGGTCGCACTCAATCACATTTGAACCTACCTTCTTGACAGAGTGGGGAGCTGTCGAAAAGGCTAGGGCACTTGCTTTTGAGTTGGACACCTACAACGGCATCTTTGTATCCCAGCAATTGAACTGCAACAATCGATTTGCCAGGCCCTCCACACTTGAGAAGCGGGTGAGATTTTCAGGTGATTTGGACGTTCGGGTAGGCGATGATGATTCTGGTTTTGTGCAGTTCACTGTTCCATGCAGGGCTCTCAAAGGTGTGATGCTTCAAGGACACCCAGGGGATCTTCAATTTGACATGTGGCTCTATGCCAAAATGACTTATGATGATGACCCGGAAGCTTTTGACTCATCCAACCGGGGCACACCTGTCGTAGATCCACAGGCAACTGTGTGTATCTCTGGGACTGCCCCTGGCAAGGATGAATGTAGTATCATGGATGGGTTCACTCATTTTCCACAGATCCCACACGATCCTGAAGGGCACCACGAAGATGAACCAGATCGAGAACAAGGTAATCCGGGCCACATCCCGGACTTCACACACAATATGGTAGCGGCTCTGCCACCGTGGATGACACCTACCTCAATTTTGAGCAGCGGCATTCGCGTACGTACATGGTACATTCATCATGAACTACTGGTACGGAATGAGCAGCCGAGAGTAGTACAGCTGTCAGCAGACCGCACGCAGTGGATCCAGCAGATGTCAGCGGTGTGGAACGATGTCATCATCCTGGATGTGCCCACAGCCTTCACAATGCCAATTCCAATGCCTGCTCGTGGACCTGATGACCAATTCATTGCGCTGGATGTCATCTTATCGCAAGGGCTCCACCTTCAAAGGCTATCAGGGCTTGTGACAGTGCACCACATTGACGACATGGATGGACTTGGCTCCAGAACCAGTGCGGCCTCATTTCCGCCGTTTGTTAGCGGTTTTCACATTTTGGATGCAGCACAAGTTCGCCATATCTGTGCACATCCTGGAGGAAGAGTGTGCCACATTTTTCATGGATGGAATGCCATACATGTCGATGATACTGCTTTACATCGCATGCGTCCAGGACACTCCTTCATGATTCAAGTTCCACATGACCCCAATCTTGACAGTGTGCCGACCAATGCGGCTGCTGAGACTGGTAGCAGTGTGGCAAGTCATGGCCTGCCAACAGGTGGAGCGGAAGACCATTTTGCAGCAGGGCAAGGCAGTCATGACAATGAACAAGATGAAGATGACCACCAGCCCTCTGAGCCGCCATCAGCTGACATTGACCCTATAGCAGGACCACTTTTCAATTGCCATTTCTACAGACTCCGTCACCCGCCACTCCATATGTTCATGAAGAATGCAGCAGGAGTCCCAATGTTGACGGAGCTTGCCAGAAATCTTGACGTGGTCCCCGCATCGCTCTTACAGGCGCACGCAATTTTGGCACCTATGGTAGGAGATTGCCGCGATGACTTTTCTTTCATCATCCAGTCGATCACAGATTTGCCCGCAGCGTCGTCAGACGCATTAGTGGTCATCGATGTGGAGCTGCATTTCCATACCACTGCATCAGGAATGCAACCATTACCTGCTGCGACCCGCAGGGTTCACCGGGTGCCACGCCATCTGTCCAGAACAGGTGTCCTGCACTATGCAGGAGTGCGGCAATACTGTGAATGGCAGGACGATGCATGCTTGGTTGATTACAACAATGTGCCCTGGGATTTACGGCACCCAGCACCCAAACTGATGCGACATGGCACTTACCTCCATGTGACGGTACCGCCGCCAGCACAGCCGCTCAACACGCTCAATGCGATCCACGTGGCTGAGCATCCTGTGATCAATCAACCAGGAGTTCATGACCAAGTACCAGCGCCGGCACCGTCGGCTCCTGCTCCGTCGCCACCCGTGGCATCAGGGTCGACAAGAAGGACAACAAGAGCCGCACAGACGGAGCATTGGCTGGACCAACTCAGTCAACTTTATGATGAAGAAGCCATGATTGAGTTTGAAGACGAGGGCAAGATCCTGTATGTTTGGACTTGGTTCATTCACCATGACCATCACAAGAAATGTGGAGCGCCCCAAATTGTGAAGTTGGACGCTTTTCGACATCTCTGGTTCCAGGATCTTACTGACCCATGGCAAGAACTGATCCACCCTGAGGACCCCATTGCAATCGCTGTCATTGGGCACCGGCCACCGCATGCCACCACAACCATTGACACAGTTCATTTGATGATCGAACAGCAACCTCGGGAGTCGCGTGCTGCAGGAGTTCTATCGGCTGTCTTTCATGGGCAACACGAAGATCGGATACTGCAAGCAGCATATTCACTACCACGTTGGCTCTGCGTTGAAGACATTGTTGACATCCTCGAGATCAATCACATTTGTGAAGTGCAAGTTTGCACCGCAATCTCTGGTGTTGCGCACTTTCAGCGCTTCATACGACATGATATCCCTTCAGCCATCAGCATTGAACTTCATGTCCGACAACCAGGCTGCCACGAGGATCCGAGGGCATCAAGCTCCAGTGAACCTTTCCAAATGAGAAGACTGATGCCAACAGGAGCTCATTCACTTTTGCAGCAAAGCACCACTGTGGTACACCAACAAGCACTTGGTGCACAGGGACGGCATTTGATGCAGCTTCAGAGACGTTGGCATCGTCATCGAACACAACCTCGTGATTCTCCTTTGGATGTTCCCTCAGAGCACATCTCGGATGAGTTTCAACAAGTTCCACATCGAGTTGCGGCTTGTGCCAGCAGCCCTACACCATTACTGCCGACGATGGTACCAATGTGGCCTACAGAATGGACTACACTTTCTGATGTTTGGACATTTTACTTCAACCAGGCCGCAATGCCAGAAGGCATTTCCATTGTTGCAGAAGTATGGTACTCCGATCACAACCGTCGCACATGGTCTGAGAATGGACATGCAGTAACCCTTGACTCAGACTTCACGCAGTGGGTGCCTCGCATACTCGATGCATGGCCAGATTGGTACCTGCCCGACCTGCCGTATGACATCATTGTTGCGAGGCCTACCCCGCTTGGAGGCAATGACGGAGTAC